TAAACCAACATTAACCACCCACCCACTAACCAAACCAACCCTAACACAACCCCGAGTTAACTCACCTCCTCTATTCAATCTATATTTATACCACCCTCTCGTTGATTCTGCAACCTTGTTTTCATTCTCTTTCTCTCTCTACCTGTCTGTACATACACTACACAGACAATCACATATATGTACACACGCATATCTACCTCTCAAAATCTCTCTTGTTGCTTCTCTTCTTCAAAAGCGCGAGTCTCAGAGTACCAGTGAAAGATCTCGGTCCGGGCGTTTCATTTTCATGTGAGTTTGAGTTTTGGATGTTTAAACTTTGAAGGCGGAGGAAGAAACGACGTCGTAAGTCATTTCAGCTGGTAATCAGCCGAGGATATGAGCTGCAACGGTTGTCGAGTTCTACGAAAAGGATGCAGCGAATCGTGCATTCTACGTCCTTGTCTGCAGTGGATCGAGAGTCCTGAAGCTCAAGGTCACGCCACCGTATTTGTGGCCAAGTTTTTTGGTCGCGCTGGTCTTATGTCCTTCATCTCCGCCGTCCCTGAAACGCAGCGTCCTGGTAACTGCCAAACTCTTGTCTTCTTCTTCATTGTCTGATTAATTTTCTTCTTGTGGTGAAAATAATGATTACTGTTTGTTTGATAATTTAATGCTTAGATTGTTTTTTTTTTCTTTTTTTGGTTTTAGCTTTGTTTCAATCTCTTCTGTTCGAGGCCTGTGGCAGAACGGTGAATCCAGTGAACGGAGCCGTCGGCCTCCTTTGGACTGGGAACTGGCATATATGCCAAGCGGCAGTCGAGACTGTTCTGCGCGGCGGCACGTTGAGGCCGGTGCCGGAACTTCTCTCCGGCGGCAGTGGAGGGCTATCGCCGTTGGCCGATGAAGCATCCGAAAGCTGCACAGATATGTGGATGTTACGAAGTTCGACCAACCAAAACCCTACTTGCCGGTTTTCCAATTCCAGATCCAAGGTGTCGCCAACGAAACGTAAGCGATCACCCGAGGAACCCAAGAAACTACCCCTGCAGCTCTCGGATCTGGACCTCGGCCTCACTTCCAGCTTTCCTGCGAATTCAGCAGCATACAAGCCGGAGACCAGACGACCGGGAACTCCGTCGATGAATTCAGAAGAGTCCGTAACGACATCTTGCTGGGATAGCGGACTTGGCGATCAGTACGCTAACGGAGGAGGACAGACAAGGTTATTGAACCTCTTCCTTTGAATAAAAAAAAATCATTTCTCCTTTCGTGAATCAGACGTTCACCATGATCGAGCTTAGCACGGTGTACTATTCTTCTTAATTCTCTTTAATCTTCTGTTAATTATTTTTGTTCTCTCTTCCCCCCCCCCCCCCC